CAACTCCTTCATATTCCCTAAAAATAGAACATCCCACATCCTTAACTATTTATGAACAGTAATCTTATCTAGGTCTACCTCTACTCCTCTTAACTCCTGTTTCTACCTCTAATATGTCTCTGACTAGACCATCATGCCTGAGAAGATATTCTACCAACCTATCTTGGCTATTTTTTATTGACTTCCGTAGAGTCCTTTATTCTCCTATTCTATCTAATACCTCTTTATTTCTATCTACGGTATCCTCATCATTCGCAAGTAACACCACATTTCGAACGCTTTTGTTTTCCGCCGCGCCCATCTACTTCATTTTATATTCCTTTCAAAAAACAATCTCATAAATTGAATAATTGAATAATTGGTGAATATTTGTAAAAAATTAACTGAGCGTATTACGAGGCACTGACTCCAACTCTTAACTCTATGCAGTTTTATCCGTTTTTACTAACCGCAAAGGCTTTACATACATACATTTATATTATATTGTTCCAGATTCAAAATGCTGTTCTAAACTGTTTTCTTTTCCACTAATATAACATTATGTACTCAAAGCGGTATCTCAAACATAATATTTAAGGAATAAACAAATCTGAAACAGTTGGTGGTAGATGTTCCTTTATTCCAGTGAGTTAGGATTTGTTAAGGAAACATTCATATCTTTCGCCGGTTTCTGTTTGTCTGTACTATTTCGAATGCAAATGTTCATGAATTCGTTAGACTTGGTTGCGGTAGAGGTGGCGCTGCTGTCGCTGACTGTAACACTGTGACTAGCGACACGTACCGAAAATTTATTTTCTCCACCGTGTCGCATCGTCACTTAAACCGCCCTTCTCTGAACATTTAATTGGACTTTCTGGCCGGTTGAGAATCGGGCACATGGAAGCCGAGGCCTCAAGACAAATTAGAGAACCACACAACATCTTAATTAATTGCTAGGTGGAAGTTGCTTCCGACTGCGAACAAATTAATAGGTGCCTTTAGGGATACGACATACGTACACATACATCGCTATCGATGCAGTTAAATCGTTATTATTTTTGGTCTTGTAATATTTCAAAAGAGATTAGATGTATTATTTTATACCGAAGAACTTATATATCTAACATGAAATCATTTGTAACTGGAACATTTTTTTGCAAAAAAAAAACATTATTGTACGAAAATAAAGTACAATAAAAATACTGAAGCACAAAGGAAAATAATGTAGGAAATGAGCGAAAATAAAGGTAGGGTAGAAAAATGATGTCAGATAAGTCGGGATTGAAGGAGCAGTAAAGATATAAAACAAAAGATAGCGCAGGGTCGAGTCGCCTTTAACAAGAAATCACTTCGATATCTTCGCGAACGGTTAATTTAGAAATTCGAAAAGATTGTTGCAGAAACAGGAGTTAAGAGGAGTAGAGGTAGACTTCGATTAGGTTACTGTTTACAAACAGTTATTGATGTGGGATGTTCTAGTTTTATGGAAATGCGAAGATTAGCCAGTCTTAAGGCTGACGACCTTATGATAAAGATGTTGACACAAAAATTGTTTTAAATTCACTTATTTTAAATTTTTTAGGTGGAGTTTCTTCATTTCTCTAACTAGAATTTTGAAACTTGAGATTCGAGCGCGAGTTTTACGTTATAAATTTGTCTCTATAGTGAGAATTTCTAATAATTTTCTTCGAAAAAATTAGCTGCAGCGATAATCAGTGGCTCAACTTTTAAACAGAACTATTACTTGCATAAATTTTCCTTTCGTCATATTACATCTTGGAAGATAGCAAAAAACTACGAATACAGTAGGAAAAGACAACACGAACGGAGTACTCATATTCTCTGACGTTGTGATCTGAGATCGTGTTTTTTTTATTATTATTACTGGAGTTGTAACTTTATTTTATCTAGTTTATATGTTTTTATACGTTTGTCGGTGTTATGATTTGAAATATGACCTTTTTTCATGAAGGTGACTAGCCGGGCAGGCACGGATATATTTTGTCATAATTGAGTTAGTATTGTTTTGGTCAGGTCTGTGTGCAGAACTGTTTTGCATATGCTGTAAGTGTACACTTCTATTTAGCCCTTGTGTGGTGCAATTATGATGTTTTACCTGTGTGATAAATTATGCATCTGTGTGGTGCAAGCCCCCGGCGCGTAAATCTCATCCTCTCTGAGGATGTGGTTCCTCCGGAGCAGAAACATGTAGGAGAGGGCCCTACATGCGCCCGATTGACAGAATTTGGTGTTCTCACAATAATAATTGGGATGCTGACTACTAGCGCAACAGTCGGAAGCCTCTACTCGTTTCTGAAGATTGTAGTTTGTTGTATGTATGTATATTCGATATGGAAAGATGGGCTTTTTATTCAAGGTCTGAATGGGAAATGCACTTCCCCCGGTGAGTTACAATTTACCCTCTTTTCTTTACGCAAAACTGTAACTTTCATGTTTTTGCCATGTGTCTGCCTGCTAAATGCCCTTTCGGACTGCTATGCGATGACCCGCGTAAGTTAAAGTGGTTTATTGAATTCGTAATAAATCTTAATTNTATTGTTTTGGTCAGGTCTGTGTGCAGAACTGTTTTGCATATGCTGTAAGTGTACACTTCTATTTAGCCCTTGTGTGGTGCAATTATGATGTTTTACCTGTGTGATAAATTATGCATCTGTGTGGTGCAAGCCCCCGGCGCGTAAATCTCATCCTCTCTTTACAGTAACAATGATGGATTTCCTCCAGTTTGAAACCCAAAATAGAATTGCTAATATTAATATTTAAAGGTCTCACGAAAATAATTACGGATTCGTAAATGACTTTAATTTTAATCAACCTAATGACTAAAGAGGCTTTTTAATACATCAAAAAAAAAAAAACGAATTTTCATGCAGAACAAAAGAAAAAATTAGTCAGAAAAATGGGTCGCTATAATTTTGATTTGTTATTCTTCAAACAAAATTAATTTGCTTGAGTATTCTCGAAATTGAATAATGCAACAAAATCTGATGAATATTACTTTTCCAATTTGTTTTGCTACCCTACAGTCTTTGCAGTTAGCTACCAAAAAAATTTTTAACAAAAATGAGAGATCCAAAATCTTTTAATGGGTCATTTTAAACAGCTGTATTAGTTGACAGAAACGAAAAATTTAATTTTTATAGAAATTGTAATTGAGAATAGTCGAGAATATCAGGGTTTAATGTAGGTAGGGCAAAATGTTTACCGAAAATTTTTTCTTTTTATGTCGTACGAGCGAAAATGCATAATTTAGTGAAGGTGTAGACTGTTGAATATATTTTTCAATCAGTTTTATCTGAAAATACCACCCGCTTCTCTAAAAATTTCCCTAAACTAACCGAACTCTCAAAATCTTCTGAACAAAGCGTAACAACTCTCAAAAGCTGTTTTATTTATTGGCTTACGTTAGTTTATTTTTTATGTATCTAGCTATACTAATGTTCCTATACTACATTGTATTTTTTATACAAAAATAGCTACAATTTCTGCAAAAAAGATACCGTGAACTTTCCATTGCAAAAACCCTCCATAATGTTGAAAGGGTGTCAGTAATGCTATCACAAATAGTTGTTGTTGTGCCGATATTGTAAATCCTTCGTATGTTTGGAAACTCCCCAGTCCTACTGGCTATTGTCCTATTCGTATTTTACTCACTTTAGATAGGCAAATACATAATTCGTCCTTAAGAAATTCTGATTCCTTTAACAAAAAATTTTATTTAACTACAATTTTATGTATTTGTTGTTGTCTTTTGATGGATATCCATTAGCATTTTATATTTGTGCATATGTTTATTATTACTAATAGATGCTTATTACACACATATATTTTATGACATTTTTAATTATTAATAGCGGTTAATATGAAATATTAACGTGAAAATTCATTTCAGTTTTCCATCCTCATGAGGAAAAATTTTGATAACAGCAACAAAAATTTTCCCTCATCAAGCCTAGGTACTTTGTAGTGAATGGAAAATTGAAAATGAATTTTCACATTAATATTTCAAATTAAATTTTGTTGCATAATTCAATTTTATTTTTCGTGCAGTGCTGTTGTTGGCCTTTAATTAATTGTCCACTCCGGTGTTATAATAATTTCCACAGCATTTCCCATAATCAGCGCCAGAAACCACCGTGTCCTCACTCCGGCGCTTTCGGGTTCATTATGTACACGCTAATAACTAACACTTAACACCCAAAGACATTAAGTTAAAGCTAAATGGAGTCCCTATAATTCATCTTGTAAATTTCCTGGTAGCGGGAACACTCTGGCGAATTTTCGTTAAAATAGCACACAAGGTGAAAGCTGTAAATTTCGGGCAGGGAAAAGGTAAATTCAAGCAAGACATCACTATATCACTCAGCAAGGATGCGTCAAGTATCGTTAATGAAAACACTCATCTCCCGAGTGAAGAGCGTACAGAAAAAAAAATTGTTTAGAGTCCAGTAATCGACGTGGTAATATATATTAATAACTATTATAGTGGAATAATACTTCTAACAGTTCAAGTTGGCAATTACATGCTCATACACGTACATACCTATTACGATTGTTCTCGGGTGGTAGTCGTTTCATGATGGTTTTAGTCAACGCTTGTCTAGTTATCGTAGCTCACGAAAACGATATTTTATTTATGTTACGAATTTATAACGTGCATCTAAGTATTAAGTGATGGGAATTGAATATTTAATAGCTTATGGTGCATAAAAGTAAACAAAACTTATCTAAGAAACTATGAAAATTTTCCATTACGTGTACGGAAGGTAGGCGTTTCCCGACATCTTTTTAACACATTTTCATGAGTTGTAATCTGTAATTAGTAAAATTTATCAAACATTTTGAACGCTAAGGGACTTCAGAATAGCTATACACAAGGTGTCCTAACAATAAACCCTCTCTTTTTTTTATATACACGTTTGCTTTTTAAAAAATAAAGTTGTATTCTTCTGCATTGTTATTTATTTATTGTCTTTTAAATGTTATTGTGTTATTTGTTTTAGATGCTCCCTTAAACATGAGAGAGGATCTTCAGCGACAAGGATGGTTCAAAAGTTAAGACTTGAGAACGTAAAATGGTAATTTTGCTCTTCAATAAGTGTCTTGAATTTTCTGAAATTTATTGTAGATTTTATGGATTGTTTCAGATTCATTGAAAACGAATTGATGATGATATTTTGATGTTCTTATTCGTTATTGAACAGTAAAAATGATTAAGGATTATGCCAACTTCATCTTCATCAGCAGTTGCGGCTCAGTTGCGTCACTATTGATTGTGAGGCCGGCAAGTGGGAAAGTGTGAAAACAGTCCGGAAAAGCTTGCGTGTCTTCCTACTAAATTTTAATATATAATATTCCTTAAAACGTAAGATAATTAACTGTTTCGCCATGTTGTAACCTTTATCCTAGTTTTGCACTTTAAATTTTTACTAAATGGTTTACTATTTTCTGATATTTTTCGCGAAATAATCAATTGGATATTAATTTAAATTTTTTTGTTCCTTTTCAGTTAAAAGTTCACAGTGAAGATAATTAAGGATTCTGCCAACTTCATCTTCGTCACCAGTTACGTCACTATTGAGTGTGAGACCGGAAAATGGGAAAACAGTCCTGGAAATTCCATAGAAGCTTGCGTATCTTCCTAAACCACAGTTTTAATATATAATCTTCCTCAAAACGTAAGATAATTAACCGTTTCGACATGTTGTAATATTTATCCTAGTTTTGCACTTTAAATTTATATTTCCTTTTCAAAAAAAAGTATGTAAACCAAAAAAGACATCCTTGGTTTGTTTAATAAGTACATTTTTTTTGGCTTACTATTTTCTGATATTTTTCGCGAAATAATCAATTGGATATTAATTTAAACTTTTTTGTTTTTTTTCAGTTAAAAGTTCACAGTGAAGATAATTAAGGATTCTGCCAACTTCATCTTCGTCACCAGTTACGTCACTATTGAGTGTGAGACCGGAAAATGGGAAAACAGTCCTGGAAATTCCATAGAAGCTTGCGTATCTTCCTAAACCACAGTTTTAATATATAATCTTCCTCAAAACGTAAGATAATTAACCGTTTCGACATGTTGTAATATTTATCCTAGTTTTGCACTTTAAATTTTTACTAAATGGTTTACTATTTTCTGATATTTTTCGCGAAATAATCAATTGGATATTAATTTAAACTTTTTTCACAATAAAATGTATTAATTTAAAACATTTTATTTATTTCCTGACATCTTTTTAACACATTTTCACTAGATATAATCAGTGATTAGTAAAATTTATTGAACATTTTGAACGTTTAAGGATTTCAAAATAGCTGTGCAGGAGGCGTCCCTAACAATAAACCTTTTCTTTTTATACACTGTTGCTTTTTAAATAATAATAATGTTCTTAATTAAAATTGTATTCATCTGCATTGTTATTTATTTATTGTCTTTTAAATATTATTGTGTTATTTGTTTCAGATGCTCCCTTAAACATGAGAGAGGATCTTCAGCGACAAGGATGGTTCAAACGTTTAGACTTGAGACCGTAAAATGGTAATTTTGCTCTTCAATAAGTACCTCGAATTTTCTGAAATTTATTGTAAATTTTATTGATTGTTTCAGATTCAATGATAATAGATTGATGATGATCTTTGGATGTTCTTATTCGCTATTGAACAGTAAAGATAATTAAGGATTCTGCCAACTTCATCTTCGTCACCAGTTACGTCACTATTGAGTATGAGGCCGGAAAATGGGAAAACAGTCCGGAAAATACCATTAAAGCTTGCGTATCTTCCTAGACCACAGTTTTAAACGTAGGATAATTAATCGTTTCGCCAAGTTGTAAAATTTTTAGTAATTTTGCACTTTAAATTTATAATTCCTTTTCAAAAAAATATGTAAACCAAAAAAAGATATCCATTATTTGTTTAATAAGTACATTTTTTTTGTTTACTATATTCTGATATTTTTCGCGAAATAATCAATTGGATATTAATTTAAATGGTTTTGTTATTTTTCAGTTAAAAGTTAAAGTTCACAATGAAATGAATTAATTCAAAATATTTTATTTATTTGATAAGTTAAATTCACACTTTAAATCGCTTTTTGCGCTTCTGTTTTTTTCCGTTTTGAGTTTGTACTTTTTGAACAAAATATTAGTGAACAATTTTTGTTATTTTTTACGACATTAGGAATTAATTTTTTTTACAGTTTTTGAATTGTTACTTTCTAGTGTATTTACCTTTACATTCAATGGTAATTTTGGTATTTTGATTTATTATTTCTTTTCTATTCCAGCTACTAAATTTTTATCCAATTGCGTTCATGTTATCAGCAGTAATTAATCTGCTGTATGTAATAGGGGTTTATGATTAGGGAGTTACAAAATTACAGAGAATATAATAATTTTTTTAAAGGAAGATTNTATTTCGAATTTTGATTGTATTGTAACTTTTACGAACTCTGTGTACAATGTTCTTTTATCTTGTTTTACTTAATACAGGCTTGAAAATGACCTCGCAGAGAGCGTCGAAACGTTGCCGAATAAACAAAATTCTCTATTAATGATTATTTAATTCGTCCAAGAAAAAATCCCAAACTTTTTTCGTTCCTATTGGTCAGAAAAGCCAGCTAAACATAATGGTAAAATTAACCAAAAGTAACGTAACCAACATCGAATCAATATCCAAATGTTAATAGAAATAAAAAGAAATAATTGTTATCAAGTACAATTTTGTTAAACTATAGAAAGAACTGATGAGATGGAAGCAAAGTTATGTAAAAGAAAGAAATCGTAAATATATGTAATAGTTGTAAGAATATTTATTTACGTAAATTATCTTAGGATATTATGTTTATACTTACAGATTGAATATTATTGTATTTATTGCACATTTTATTGTAATAACAAATAAGGGGCGTTAGGGAATTTATTTTGGGGAGAAAATGGAAGCGAGAAAGTAGTGAGGATGGTGAGAGAGGCGAAAGTGGTAATGGGTGAGAATAAGGATGTGTGAGGGTTCACTCTCATGTATTCTTATTATCTCTCATTACGATTAAGGGACGAATAAGGGTGAATGTTAGATGTGTGAATGTGTGAGAGTGTAAAATAGGGTGGTCAGAATGAAATGAAAGAATGAATGCGCATGTGAAAGTGAGTGTATGTTAAAAAGGGTGGTGGTAAGAATTAAATGAGAAATAAATGTATGTGCAGGAAAGAGAGAAAGTTAATGGGAGAAAATAAGGACGAATAAGGGTAAAAAAACCTTTGCTGATTACTGTTATTTATTCTTATTGTCTCCCATTACGATTGGGAGAGAAATAAGGGTGAATGTTAGAGGTGTGAACGTGTGTAACATGGGGGGGGGGTGGAAATAATGAATGCATATGTTAGAGTAAGTGCATGTTAAAAAGGGTGACGGTGAGAATGAAAGAAGAGAATAAATGCATATGTTTGAGAAAGAGAAGTAGAATGGGAGAAAATAAGGAAGAATAAAAGTAAAACAACCTTTGCTGTTTACGCTCATGTACTCTTATTGTCTCCCACTATGACTAGGGAAGAAATAAGGGTGAATGTGACAGATGTGAATGTGTGAGAGAGTGAGGGTGATGTCATGAACATAAATGCATGTGTGAGAGTGGTTGTATGTTAGAAAGGGTGGTGTGAAAATGAAACGAGAGAATAAACGTACATGTTTGAGAAAAAGAAGGTTAATGGGAGAAAATAAGGATAAATAAGGGTAAATAGTCGTTGCTATTCACTCTCATGTATTCTTATTGTCTCCAACTACGAATGAAGGAGAAATGAGAGTGAATGTGTTACATTCAGGGGATGGTGAGAATGCAATGAAAGAATAAATGCTTGTGTGGGAATAGGAGTATGTTAAAGGGGTATGAAAGAAGTAATAGGGGACAGTAAGAATGTAAGAGGATAAGAGTTAGTTTCCTTTCAACCTCTTGAATTTTTATTCTCTTCCATTACGGTAGTGGGGTGTGAATGAGAGTGAATGTAGTGTGTGAAAGGGTGGAAAATTGTATTAGTTTATTTATATGTGTGTATGAAAGAGGAAGTGAGGTAGTAGGGAGAAATAAGAATGTATGAGGATAAGTGGTCATTCCCATTCATCCTCATGCGTTGTTATTCTCTTCTATTACGAGTATGGGGTATGAATGAGGGTTAATGTGGGGCGTAAGAGAGTGAGAAGTTGTATGTGTGCATGAGAGAAAGAGAGGGTGAGGTTACGGGAGAAAATAGGAATGCATGAGGGTAAATGGCCATTCCCATTCACCCTCATACATTTTTTCTCTCCCATTACGAGTATAGGGTATGAATAAGAATAAATGTGGAGTGTAAGAGGGTAGGGAATTGTATGAGTGTGTTTGTATGTGTGTATGAGAGAGAGTGTGAGGTAATGGGGGGAAATAGAAGTGCATGAGGGTAAATGGTCATTCCCATTCACCCTCATACATTTCTATTCCCTCCCATTATCAGTGTGGGGTATGAACGCGAGTGTGAGAGGTGTGAATGTGTGAGAGGGTGAGTGAATGCAAGGGGTGTGAATGTGTGTGTGAGGGAGTGAATGTGTGCGCGAGGGGGTGTGAATGTGGGTCGGGGGTACCCGGGGGGGCGCGGGACCCAGGGGG